TAACTAGGTCCTGGGTCTAAAAATTCTGCTGACCATAAGCTTTAAACCAAATGCTATGGAGGGAATCCCAAAAGCCTCTAGCTATCACACATTCCCACCACAAGTGTAACTAGTCTTCCAAGGAGGGGTGGGGGCGGGCATCACAAAAGGTAGTAATCTCCATTAATTTCTCTTCGCATCACAAGGCGGTTGGTACACACGAGTGCAGGTACAACCACTGCAGACCGCCCACCTTAATCTACAAGGATAATAAGATAATGCAGATGAAGAACGAAAGCCATTTGGGTGAGGGTGGGCGAAATTTGAGGGAGGACATCCTGTGCTGTAAGCCGATAGCCAGCCTTGCCTGCATATCATTGGCGTATGAATGGATATGGTATCCCATTTGCGAGGACTACTTAGAGATATGAACCTTAGATTGGGCACCTCCTAGGGCGGAGATGATCCATCTGTACTTACCGAAATCCAATTTCCAATCCTTGATTGGGAGAGCTTGCATGACCACTTGGATTGGCAAGGAGTTGTTGGTTGATTTCTTCTGATGAATTCAGACTTCTTCCATACCAGCTGGCAAGAAAGGTGTCTTATTATTGGTTGTTGAAGTCTTTATTGTTGCATGGACCACTCCGAGGTTTCTATTGAGCCGTCCTCATTCATCTTATCGATTCAGATGAAGCAGTCTGGTGACAAGGGGTGCTTGTACCACTGTTGCTCTCTGTATGTGATAGTAGTAGATCCGAAAATGGTGGATACCTAGTCGAGTGGGATAGCTTGAATTAGCTCGGCCAAGTGGCCCTTGATCTTTTTTTTTTTTTTTTTTTTTTTTTTTTGAAAAACACAGTCCTTGCAGTGCTAGTGATGCTGTTATGCTCAGACATCACTAGCACCTAGGGAGAGGCTCCATCTATTGGTGGGGAGCAGCACCTGTTGGAAATCGGGTCCAGCATCCCTTATATGATAAGTACAACATGAACCATAGACCAGTAACAGGATGAATGTCTTGAAGGTGCCTGCCAGCATTGATTACTCTGGAGTCCAAAGGATTGACTGAGTAGGTAGGTATGACCCAACCAATGAGTATGAAAACCAGGTGGTCCCCGTCATCTTCTCCAGCCCTTTATCCGGTCAGGGTTCTGGAAGGAGCCACTGGGGGCCACCAGTGGGGCCTCCTTCCATCACCCCGCCCATCCCTTAAAAACTTTGAAACCTTTTAATCCTTCAAACACTGCCACCTGCCCTTACTGCGTCATGATGCTGGTTACAAGACCGTCTTAAAGATAGAATGAGACCGGGTGGGACAAAAATGAACGGAGTTAAGGCAGAAAAGGACGGAATAAAAACAGAAAATGAAGGCTTAACTGCCTGAAACAAAATAAAACAAGAATGTAGGGGATTTACAGACATATTTCCAGAGACCTCGAGTGGGGAGGGAAGAGGTCCGGAAAATCCTTTACCGGTCTCATGGGGATGTTTGGGTCCGTCGCAAGCCATTCCTTGAATTGCAAATGGTAGTCTCTTGGGACTACCTCTCCTTGGCTGTCCTCCCTTCCCTGTTCCCCCTCCCAGTCCCCAGTCCAGCATACTTTCGCTACCCAAATTCTCTGTCCCCGCCCAACCATTCCCTCGAAAACTGTACTAACCGTTCCCTGATGTCTTTAGATCTTTGAAAATTGTCAAGTGTTTGCTTAGTTAACTTCCACCTATACGAGAGTTCTAGTTGAAAGTGTGATTTGAATTGTTCCAGTCTCTCTTCTCCCTCTACCCGAACCAGGTCTACAGTTAGGACACAGCGTTGCCACCACAGAACCCACAGGATCGTTCTTCGAGACAGATGAAACATGTTCGACACAAAGGTGTTGTCTTGGAAGGGTGGATAGTGGCCCATAAGGATGGCCCGCCAATCCCATGGCCATAGGTGACCCGGAACCATTTGTTGCCACACTCTATTCCACCACCGCCAGATCAAGATTGCTGTTGGGCATTGCAGGAATATGTGTTAAATTGTCTCTGCTCTCTTCCTAGCCGGGAAACCCAACATACAGCGGGAGCACCAAGGGAGTGCATGGCCTTGTCGTTCCCAACGCGAATGATCAATCAGCCAGTCATTTGTAGGTAAACACCGATGCAAGATCTGCCACTGTAAGAATGTAATTTTTGCTGGTCTGCACTTAGTGTCACAGAACCATCGTATCGGTGTAAGAAGTTGTCTCTCCACATTGAGGTGCTTCTGCCATCTGTCGATTACCGTATCTTTTAGGCAACGCTTAGTTCTAAGCATTCGGTATGTCACCTTCACCGAGAGTCCCGACAATGTTTTAGGTTTTAGTTGTCGTGGATTATGCCGTGTGTCAGGGTTCCAGATCCATTCCAATAGGTCGATTGGGAGATGTTCTATGGCTATCTAAGGAAGGAAAGTCCGGCGGTTGTCTCCTTCCTCCACTACCCTGAGCCCTTGATCTGATTTACACCAGCAAGGTGATATCTCGGTCCCCTTGCTGCTTTCCATATGTTGTTTCCAATGTGCCAAATGTGACAAACCATCCATGGTGATATCTCGGTCCCCTTGCTGCTTTCCATATGTTGTTTCCAATGTGCCAAATGTGACGAACCATCCATGTACCTGTTTGCATCCAGTTGAGTATGAGGTTGTCTGTAGCTTTAGCCACCGAGAAGGGTAGTCCGAAACTGCTCCTGATGGCGGTGTCATGGCAAATACCCTTACACGGTTATCTGTCATAGTTTGCACAAGTCACAGGGGGACCCGGTGCACTTGAGAAGTTAGATAGGGCAGCGCCACGCTTTTTTTGCGTGACTTGCGCCCATCCCCTGTCATCGGGGCGGCAAGCGTGAGTAGAACTGGGATTAGGGAGTCTATGTAAACGCACATTGTTGCGTCGAGTAGAAGGTAGCTGGATAGTTGTGGACCTTGGTGGTCAACCAGCAGGTCTGTGAGCTCGCACGACACTCGTGAACACAATGACTTCAGTCGGCTAGGGTTGTCGCGCGTATAGGGCACACGCACATTAGTATTCAAGCCGTTGTCATGACATGTGTCTCAATTTGGCCTCGGTTGTTAGGCCATTACGTCCACAATACCGTATGTTGTGCACTGGGGCGGAGCTAGTTGCTATCTAACAGATTGGTCCGCGGCCACGCTAATGGACATTTGATCAGTACGCGCCTTGTTTAGATGGGACGAGGTGGGCGCTGAGGTTCGGAAAGTCGCGGTCCCAAAAAAAATTGTTATTTATTTTACGTTGATGATTTATTTTCATCATGATTTTTATTCTTTGTTTCTTTCAGCATGGTTAGGCCCAATTTGTGGAGCCTCGTGCCCATTTTCATGAAGGAACGGGCTACTTGGTAGGACGTGACATAAAGCCAGAGACCAGTAGGACTTGGGTCTGGCGACACCCACTAGAACGGCCACAAGGCGGCTTTGGTTTGGTCTTGATGACGGCTGTGCAAGGAAGGTTCTATTCATAAAAGGTTTTGTGCATGGCTTTACCAACGAAAGGGCTACCGTCTTCACCCGAACAGAACGCCCGGTCATTATAGCTGCATCTGGCATAACTTTCAGTCCAGATGCAGCTATAATTACCGGGCGTTAGAGCATGCGCTTGAAATCAGCAGACATTGGGTTCAAGCAGTCGGCGTGACCATGACATGACAATCAAGATGACAACGAGTGGTAGACCCTAGGAGGCTCGATTCCTCAACCGTTTTCCTTCCTACAACGGCCTTTGGGGCCGCCAACGGGCCTAGCTCAGTTCGTATACCTATGAACTGTTGAAAATGGAACCGAGTTCTAACTCCACTGAATGCAAATTAGGGCAATACTGCAATCTGAATTATATAGGGCTGGTCAGTTCGATGATGATATCTCAAGTCCACCCCTCTGCTCTGTCTCTCGGAACGTCTGTTAAAGCTGGAACGATACAAGGAAAACTTGCATGGCCCACATTATGTGGCCATGGTGCGGCCGTGAGGTGCTAAGACCAGACGGCCTGGACTAATGGGTACTCAGGCGCTAAGTGCAATCCTTGTTAGAAGGCATATGCACCAGGGCCTGCAGGTCATACGGTCAGGGGTCCTAGTAGGATCGATCTCAAGACAATCGGGATCTTGTTATTTTAGATTTCCCTTTTTATTTCTATGTTTCTTTTTGCTTTGAAGTCTGAACTTGGAGGGGAAGTTGGGTTGAAGAATGAAGGGTCGATCGACCCTGAGCTTCGTTGCGCCACACACAAATAGCTCATGCAGGCGTGCAGAACGCTTCAGCCCAGCAACTTCAAATGTATATACCTTATGAGTTGACCAGATGCATTCGAAAGGGGCATATAAAAGCAGGGTACTTGAATTGGTAGTCCGACAATGGGCAGGCAATTCAGTTCGCTTCTTTAGTTGTATCGTTGTCGGAGCAACAATTGACCAAGCTGCGCCAGATGCTGTCGGAGAAGGAGAGGACGAAGAGGGGGGAAGAGAATGAAAAACGAAAGAAAAGGCGGAGAAGAATGGTGATAGCGAAGATGGACCCAATGAGGAATGCTCATCTGCCCGTTCCTTCACGAAAGTGGGCACGGGGAAACGGCTCGTGTTTTTTTTGGCAATGGCAACCTCAAATTTAATGTTTGTAGCCAGGAGGTTGCACTATCCTCGTTTGCGTTTTGTCGTTTAGCAGGGTTAGTACCGCATTCGAAAATGTCGACAACCACACCTGGGGGGTAGATCGGCTTAGAGCTGTCGGAGAGGTGCGGTGGAAGGGTGCGGATCTTGTCGTGAGACCTACCAGTCACTTAGCAGGCTGCATGATCATTGTGGACGGCGTCTGCTGTTTCTTTTCGGGAACTTCAGGAATCGGGCGGGCAGTGCAAATTCGGGAACCGAATTCTTGAGGAGGGGAGCAAGTTTGGCCATTTCTTTTTCTCCGATATGGCCGTTCCTTTTTTTGGGTGTTGTCTTAGTGTGCAAAATGAAAAAAATGAATCTCCCACTAGAACACGGTGGAGTTTCTAGTCGCCTCCTTCACTCCCTAGCAGCCCTGCCATCGCCTCCTCCAACCGACCCTCTATTCACCCTGTTGACTGCCCTTCGACCCTCCTCCATCTTCCCATCATCGACCACCAGCTCTTCCGCCTCGTCCTCGTCTTCATCATCGTCATCACCATCCCTGTCGAATGCCCTATTCCCATCATCGTTCTCCATCTCTTCCTCCTCGTCCTCATCACCATCATCGCCGTCCTCATCCACGTCATCACTAACCTCCTGGCCGCCTCCGTAAACATGCCTAAGACTGCCAAGGCTTCGGCTAACACTCGCCCTCCCGGGGTATCTTGTCTTGTTCCTGGCGTGTACCATCCGTACTGTGCCTCCTCTGTGTCTGTGTGTGTATATGTGAGTGTTATCAATCTCTCATTCTATCATCAATTATCCGTCGGTTTCTTGTCTCTCAATGACTCTTAACACGTTTCCACCTCTTAACACGTTTCCACCTCGTTCCTTCTTAGCGGCATGCTTGCATGGAGTACTTGCGCAAAAATACATTGTGGGAGGAGTGGAGGGGAGGAAACCAGCCACGTAATGGGTTTGTCACCGAGTTACCTGGCTGGTGTCCCATCCTCCACTCCTCCCACAGTCTCGGGGAGGCGGACAAGGAAGCTGCGGACAAGCCCACCATAGGATCTTTGCACTCCACAACACTCAGCTTTACTCAATCCCCCAAGCGCTAAGTTAGGCCGACATCACGGGCACAAGCGACAACCACGGAACCGTAATCCCAATCTGCTTCTGCGACCCGCCCGAAGTGAATCCCATATCCCCTGCTGTCCTCTATCCCACAGCCTCTTCAAAGTGTTCACCCCAAAATTATTTCAAGACATGTCCAACACAGGTTTCTAACTTTCTACTTTCCAGAGTTCCTCTTGAAATGCCCAATTCCCCAGAGCCTCCAAACCCCAAGCTTTGAAGCTTGCTCGGCCGAAAGACCATCAACTTTCAAGCGCTGTCAGTCACAGGTCTCCGCAAACAAAAAAGCCTACATGTCTTTTATGCATCCCGTCCACAGAAGAGTAACGCTTTCAAGAGTGCTGTGTGGCCAACACAAGAGTAACGCTTTCAAGAGTTTTATGCAAAAACTCTTGAATTCTAGAAAATGTCTGACAGCTCTTGAAACCTTTCATCGTTTCAAGAGTGGAATGACAAGCCCCTCAGTCGCATTTCTACCTCTACGTGTGGGCGTCCCTCAGTCACCTTTCCTGATATCGTTGATGCATTACGTACATGGGACGCTGGAGCCGTTCTCTGGCAGGTGATGCTGACCACCTCCAGTACATGGGGCCCCTCCCCAGGTGCTACCGGTAGTGCTGCCTGCTTTTAACAGCACCACAAGAACTGTAGGGGGCGTTTGAAGGGAATACTGTAGCTGTTGCTGTTATTGTAAATGCAGATGCAGTTGTAGATGATCTTCGAGATCTGGTTGCTGTTCGTGGGCGCTCTGCTCTTAGTGATGTTGTTGTTGCTGTTGATTTTGCTGTGCTTGCTGTTGATCTTGTTCATCTTACGATTCCTTTTCAAGTCACACTTGTTGATATTCCTCTTCTGGTTGTTGTACTGGCTGTGCTGGTCAGGTCATAGTTGTGTTGTTCTAGTTGCGTGCGATGCGTGTGTACATCTTGCAGCCGCACACGCGTCACACACACACACACACAAACACAAACACTGTCGGTGTTCAACCTTCTGACGAGTCATCGAAAGTCTGACGAAACAGTGACCGGACCCCTATCCGTCTGTGGTTTGGATTTTCACCACAACAACACTAATCCACCCAAATGTGTACAACCAAAACCAAAGCAGCTTTAGACTTTAGTCCTATTCCAACCAAAACCGAAGCACACTTCAGTAGTCCTATTGCAGACAACGAAGCACACTTGAGTTGAGAAATTCCAACATTACTACAGCACACGTGACGCGGAGAACAAGAAAGCCCATCATCCACTTCGGCTTTAATTGGGGTACATCCATTTTGCAGCTCACCTCTTACCGAGTGCTGTGCTTGAGCGCACGTGCTGGGGACATCCCCGTGTTCCTCGGCACCCAGAGACGTTATATATAGAGGAAGAGGTGTACTCCTGTTCATTGTACTTCAGATCCTCAGCTCAAATTTTCTGTTCTCTTAACGATGCTCAGGCGCATACATTAACTAGTACAAAATGAGAGGGAGGAAGGTAAGGGGTACGAGGCGGGGCTCTACAGAAAGTGAGCGACAGGGGAGGGAGCCTGAGAAGCGGTGCGGGAAGAATGTGCAGGGGCAAAGGACTGAACCTAGACATGACGAATGCACAGGTTTCTAAACACTCACCGCTGGTGCAGCCTGACTCTAGGATGGCAGAGGGCGCCGGCCAGCATTTGGGTCGAAGAAAGAATTGGAGTTGAGCAGCAGCTGTTGCCTTTTGTAAATGGGCACGCCTACAAACCGAAGAGGACCGGTTCGAGTGTAGGACTGGAATCTCCCTCCACATCTAGTTCTCGCAGTATGGGTTGCAACACCAGATGACACAGCCTACACACGCCACAGGCATACGGAGGCCCCTCAGTGCTACTAGGAAGACGGGCATGCCGATCGCAATTAGTAGAGACATTGCCGTTCCAGCCCGTCTTTATATTGGACATCACATGTCATGTCACGGCATTATACATCAGTGCAGTACTGACCACCATCATACGTATGAAGACAAAACAACACATGGGCTATCCTTTCATAACCCTGACAGCACAAGGCATGTGAACCACATAGTAGCGGAATCTCAACTGGGTCATGACAGAGCGGCATCGAGCAGGTTTCATGCTCTTCTCCAGTGTCTATGGGCAGACGACGACAGGGAAGCAAGGTTGTTTATAGCTGCTCCAGGATTTGATCTGCAGCAGATCGCCCTGGTGGTGATAACACCTTTCAGTACACAGCGCGTTGCCAATATGCGCATGGAAAAGCACACAGTTCATATGGTAGTCTATTTCCCTCCACAGGAGGCGCCGCCTGTCGTTCATCTGGCAAGGAAGAAGGACATCCATCTGCAGTTGCAGTGGTTGTATGCCCAATTCGGTATGTGGGACATGCTAGGAGGGGATATGGTGGATGATCGCATCGGGGAGAGTCCACGTAGTAGAGAAACTTTCTATAACAGATTCCTGGAGACATTGACAACACATGGCTTCTTGCTGACATGTCAGCACGAAACAAGGATGACGCTCGGACCTATTTAACCATCAAAAAATCAAGGCCATGACGGCATGACGGGCAAGTAATTAAAGATGCGAAAGCAATTAAGGATGAGCGGGATGCGTACAGGACAAGGGGTGACAGTTTTCGCGGCAGAGGCTGACAGTGACCAGCGTTCGGACAAGAGGCTATTCCGTGTGACTACTAAACGTACTCCATGCACACCAGACTGTAATTGAACAACACAATGGGAGGGCACAACCACCATCCTCTGGGGGGAGGTCCTTTCACTGTCCGTTTGATTATAATGATAATCACAATTGCATCTCTATACTCCTAAAGCAAGCAAAGGGCCCAGCGTGACACGTCCCGCCAGGCCCAGAGAAAATCGGTGTGGAGAGGCACGGTGGGAGGCGGGGACAAAGCAGTGGTACCGTGGCCGGGAGGAGGTCTGAATTGGGCGGATAATCACAATTGCATCTCTATACTCCTAAAGCAAGCAAAGGGCCCAGCGTGACACGTCCCGCCGGGCCCAGCAAAAATCGATGTGGAGAGGCGCGGTGGGAGGCGGGGACAAAGCAGTGGTACCGTGGCCGGGAGGAGGTCTGAATTGGGCGGCGCGACCGTCGTGGGGTCGAGGCCGCAGCGGAGCGGAGGCCCAGAGGGAGGATAGCAGGCGGGGCGGGGAAACAGTGAGGTGTGCGCGCGGGGACATGCCTGTGGTACCGCGGTCGCGAGGAGGCGAGGTGGACGGTCGCAATCATCGTGGGGTTGGGGTTGCAATCGCAGCGGAGGAGAGGCCCGCGGGGACGCTAGCAGGCCGTTGTGCGTGGCGGGCGGGTGGCAGGCGCGTAGGGGATTCTGCGCGTGCAAAAGTGGAAGCGGGCTGCGTGCGCGCCCGAAGGGCGGAGAAGTCCGAAGTGTCGACGGCGGTCGGGGGCAGACCGGCGTGCTAGCAGGTAAGCGGGCGGGGAAGGCAGCTGTGTGCGGGACGTGGGAGGGACGCGCATGCAAGAGAAGCGGGGTGTGGGAGAGTTATCGTCTCTCTCTCTCTCTCACACACACACACACATACACACACACACACACACACACACACACGAGCGATTCATTCCGATTTTGCTAAAAACGTGGCAGTGTATATTTCCACGATTCAGCGGAAGATTCATTCCATTTCTGCTCATCCTATGGATGGAATGTGTGTGTGTGTGTGTGTAAGAGAGAGAGAGAGAGGGAGAGAGAGAGAGAGAGTACTTGGATCCATGAGAGAGAGAGAGAGAGTACTTGGATCCATGAGAGAGAGAGAGAGAGAGTACTTGGATTGATTCGTTGGCCATATTCGCCGCGCCGTGATTGCTGGTGTCGGCCATATTCAACCAGGTAGTGTATATCTCCATTTTCTAGCGCAAGATTCATCGGTTTGAAGATTCTCTCTCTCTCTCTCACACACACACACATCGATTTGAAGATTCTCTCTCTCTCTCTCTCTCTCACACACACACACGCACACACACACACAAGATTCATCCCCCGGAAGTGAAACATGGCAGGCGGGGGCACGGCGAAGTGTGCAGGCTAGTGCGTGCGCTGCCGATATGGGCAGCGGCGGTGGCCTGGCGGGCATGTGGGCCGGTATCTGGAATCTCTCTCTCTCTCTCACACACACACACACACACACACACACGAACCATTCATTCCGATTTTGCTCAAAAAGTGGCAGTGTATATTTCCACGTTTCAGCAGAAGATTCATCCCGTTTTTGCTCATGCTATCAATGGAATGTGTGTGTGAGTTATCGTCTCTCTCTCTCTCTCTCTCTCTCTCTCTCTCTCTCTCTCTCTCTCTCTCTGTGTGAGTTATCATCTCTCTCTCTCTCTCTCTCTCTCTCTGTCACACACACACACACACGAACGATTCATTCCGATTTTGCTCAAAAAGTGGCGGTGTATATTTCCACGTTTCAGCGGAAGATTCATTCCGTTTTTGCTCATCCTATGTGCAATGTGTGTGTGCGAGAGTATGGTCTCTCTCTCTCTCTCTCTCTCTCACACACACACACACACACACGAACGATTCATTGCGATTTTGCTCAAAAAGTGGGAGTGTATATTCCACGTTTCAGCGGAAGATTCATTCCGTTTTTGCTCATCGTATCGATGGAATGTGTGTGTGAGAGTTATCGTCTCTCTCTCTCTCTCACACACACACACAAACACACACACGATTCATTCGGATTTTGC